AATAATAAAAGAACGATCAAATAAATGGGTTAGTCACATGGAACTATTTAGTCGTACCTCTGTGAGTCATTTAATTAAAATCTACAGGATGTAATTTGTTAAGATCATAATATTTAATTTTATGAAACTTAAGAACTCGCTGGTGATTAAAGGGTAACAAGTGTAATGAGCTTTAAAAAAGGTTATTAGCTCGGTTAGTAAGTTGACAAAATTTTACTTAAGAAAATGACAAGAACTCGAACAAGAATTAAAAAAATTTGAAAAGTTTTTCGTTTTTGTAAGAAGTAGGTATTAAACATTTAAAAAAAATTAACGTATCAGTTAAAAGTTAAGTTAATTCAGATTTCCTAACCTAACCTAACACCGAAAAAATGGCTCCAAATGGTCGAAAAATCAGTTTTTCGCAAATATCGGCCAAAATATGCAATTTACAAAAATTTTCTTCAAATAAAAAATGAAACTTAGGTAATTATCTACAAAAATTATCATCACTTTTTACATAGAATTAGTAGTTTTTGAGATATTCCGCCTCGAAGACCTCTCAATTTTCTCTCAAAGTCTTAAGGGGCCCACAGACGATACAATCGGTTGTACAACTGATCGTACGATAGGTTGGACTAAAAATCGTTCAGACAGACCATAGATACTTTTGGCCACAAACGTAACGTCATTCTAAAGCCACTTGTAGTACGATTAGTTAAATGTTTTAAATGAATTAGTTCAGTGACTCAGTGTATGTTTGACTATGCCACAAACTATGTCAAAAAAAAACTAATTTTCGAAGTTCTAATGTTGCATCTGGATTTATTTCTTTCATTTTTCTCAGCAACACTTCGTAGCTGGAGTTCCGTTTGTGTTTATTGGAATATTCCTCACTTTTAACATTCCATAAGCACGAATGGTCTCTATAAATTTCAATAAATTCTGTCCAAAACTGTCCTATTTTCCTCCATGATGAAACACCACAATCTCACTACACGATGTATTTATGTATTAACATAGTAGCAACAAGTCGGTGAAAAAGCCACAGACGTTCAAACTTGTCGTTGATCCAACCAAGTTGTACGACAGATTTTTCAGCATGCTGAACTACCAAACGATCCAACCGCGTCTTAACGACAAGTTGGACGACAAGCCTACAGACGTTACGATTATCGTTCACACAGTTGGATCAAACCAAATCGTCCAACTTGTTGTACAACAGATTGGATCGTCTGTGGGCCGTTTTAACGTTCCGATGATAGACTTCATAAGCACATTATTGATTGATAGGACAAATTGTTTAATAACTCGGCTAAAATTTAATATTTTTTGATGGTTCGAAGCATATTTAAAAGGTAGAATCAATAGCTATAACATTTTGGAACTTGTTTGAATTTTGCCATATTTTATGATAATAAAAAAACTGGGCAAACATTCCCTGATCCAAAAATTTTCAGATTTTTACAAACTTATTCATATTTTCACTAATAATACAATCTCTGTTGATTCTACCTTTTAAATGAACTTTGAATCATCTAAAAATATTATATTTTAGCCGAGTTATCAAACGATTTGTCGTATCAATCAATAATAAGCTTATGAAATCTATCTACAGAGTGTTAAGACTTGGAGAGAAAATTGGGGGGATCTTCGAGACGGAATATCTCGAAAATTACTAATTGTACGTAAAAAATGATAAGAACCATTTTTGTAGGTAATTATCCAAGTTTCATTTTTTGTTCCAAGAAAAATTTTGTAAATTGTATATTTTGGCAGATATTTGCGAAAAACTGATTTTTCGGTAATTTTGGGTCTTCTCGTGTCCTTATTTACTGGACTAATAAGTTTAAAATAAATATATTCCACCTATGTAATGATATATTGTAAAATAATATGTGCAATACAGCAACTGCATTAATTATTTAGTTATATGTTACATCACATTTAGTAAAATACCCAACAATATTAATTGATCAACACTTTATCAGCTGCAACTATTCATAAATATTAATGAATCTCATTTCTTTTACATATATTTTTTTCAATAAAACGCCGCCCATGTTTTCTTATTCATTTACGGATCCTTTGTAGTATTGTTTAGCTTTTAGAGAAACAAATCCCATTCTTTACTTGTTTAGAAAGAATTGTTTGATTATTTTTACTATTGTTTTGACGCGTGCTCCTAGACAACTAGCTCACGATTTCCTATGTTAATCCAGTCTATATTTCGATAACATATCGCGTCCAAATAAAAGAAACGATTATAAAGTAGTTGCGGCATTGTTGCGGCTTATGGGCCGTTCAATTTCTTTTCTGTTAGTTAACTTCGTTGACACCACTCAAAACCATGGTACAAAGAATACAAGGTATGATCGATAGCGGATCCAATTTCGTTCAGTTCGCGCATACCACCTGTGACGTCACTATGAAAATAATGAATAAATAAAAAATAAAGAAAGTTGACAGGATATCTGCATTTTTTGGGTTTATGGTTAAGAATTGTTTATTTTTAAGACTTTTTAGTTCGTTTAATTTAATAATTACTAAAACCAGCAGTTCTAAAAATATATTTAAAAATAATAATTACCTATTAACATGGATTTGTTCAATAATAGGTAAGAATACTAAATTTATTTCTATATTCGGTATAAAATTGTTTATTAGGTTTTTAGTTTGCGATGTTTATGGTAAATAATTTTCATGTTCATTGCCTCTGAATTCACATGAGGACAGAGATGAGGATATCTATGGAAAAGTAAACCACAAGAGGAATTGTTACATCATTTAAAAAATGTTGGGAAGTTTATTGTTTCCCATCGAAAAGTAGAAAATGCCAATGCAGATGAACGTATTGTAATTGTGATAGAAGTAATTCCAAGGGTGAAGTTTATTATAATTAGTGACCTGTGCTTCTTTTTATATGTAGATGTTTCAGGTTTTGAGAATAAATTGGTTGAACGACACCCAAAATTTAGAGGAAGTATTTGCATACCCAGAATATGCCCATCGAGGATTATATTATAGCTCAAATTTCCTTTAATAGTAGACAATTATTCAATGCAAATTAACTTTTTAAGTGACTGAAATATTAAATAGTTTACAATATGGTATATCACTAAAAATATATTACTTTTAGGTACAATTAGGGCCCGACACATTTCAAAAAGTAGAATATTATTTTATATTAAATGAGGTATTGTACCAACAATCAATTTATATTAATAACGGAGATTAAAAAATAACAGAATAAATAGTTCTTTTTTTTTATACTACAAAAATAAATTATAGAATACAACAGTATTTAAAAAAATAAATAAAAAGTTATGTCGCGGCCGAGATTCGAACCCGGTCTCTCGCTTCCTAGCCCGACTCCTTACGCGCACTGCTCCACAGTAACTTGCTTAGCGATAATTCAATGACGGTATATAAAACAAAAACAGATTTATAACAATATCTTGACGATTTGAACTGGCGCGCGGAGCGTGCTGACCAATAGCGCCTGTTATCACCTGTGACGTAGCGACCAACCTGCGCAATATCATACCTTGTATTCTTTGTACCATGACTCAAAACTCAATGAACAAATTTTATTCACTTAAGTGCCAGGGTCACTAGACTTTTAACCCGTCGATTTCTTTCAGCTCTTGATTGTGTTAATTCGTTAAAATCAGCTATTATACTTTCAAAGTTCAAAATAGTCGGTACAGAATCACGAATTGTTATTTGTTTAAATAAGATATGAGAATGTATCAAGAATGTTAATTATTTCGCTGATAATTTAGCTAGAAATTATGTAAACATAGTAAATATATAGAGTATTATTGAAACACTAAACAAGCGAAGAATTACATACAAAATTTAATAAGTTTATGCAATTCTTTGTAGCATTTTTATGTGTAAAAATATAACATTCTAATTATTCTAACCTCAAAATAGCAACAGCTATTCAGCTCTTTTTCTGTTATTCAATCTAATAAAAACATGGTACTTACATGAACTCAAACTGGAAGACTGGCCCATTCTAATTAATTCTGTAGGTAAAGAATCACATCACAAAATAAATTATTTATCACTAATTGTATTGCACTTGTTAACTAAAAGTTAGATCTACACGTTACATTAGTTCACGTTTGAAAATATTTTTCAATTCGTAAGCTGATGAATTATATCATGATTCATACTACACACTTTGTTAATGTTTTTTGCACCGAAAATTATGAATAATATTTCCGAAAAAATATAACAAAAAAATTAGAGTCGTTTCAAGAAAAGCAACAATCGTGAAATTAGTTACAGATATTTGACAATGAAATGAAAATTGAAGGTGTGTATTAGGCAACCAAATATTTTCCTTTAAAATCATAATAAAAACTTAAAAAATACTAAATACTTCTACATTTTATCATTTGTAATATACGTACTAAAGTATTAAGGGTAATCTAATTAAGGTTCTATCATTAGCTGTATATTATTTTCTCCAAGTACTTTCTAAAAACTAGACTTCGAAAATGAAATATGTAGCTAACTTCTGGGTTGTTTATGTTTAGGGCTTGGTTTAGGGTTAAAGGGAAATGTGATAGAGGAAAGTTTACCCAAAAAGTTTTTTGGATTAATTATTATAAATGGAGGACCAACCCCAATACTTTTGTATAAATTGTGGCGAAAGAATAAGTAGTCTCTATAAAAAATATAGCGCAACTGTACTAAAATTAACAGAATGTAAGATTCTATTTCCCTTTTTATCTATTCATTATTTAAAACTTTTTTAGGAAGACTGTAAAAAATAGCTGATAAATATGTCGAATAATGATATTACTAATGTTGTAATAGACCTTATTTTATTAGATAATACAGCTTATAGACATATTCTACTTAATACAGATTTTAAGGTTTGTAGTTTATAAACAAAATCCTTGCTAGATTTTATTTTCTTGAATATTTCAGCATTATTGGAAATTATCACTAATTCTAATTTTACTGGAGGCTTATTCCAACATGACATTACTAAACGAACTCAAATGTGGTTCAGTGCGATAGCTAAGATCAAACTGAACCAAGTCTAAAAGACTTTGATGTGAATGTTGAAGATCTAAAATTCTACATTCTTACAATAAATATTGGCATTAGTAAGCTGAACCATAATAAACTATATATAAACTAACTGTATACATTTTCTTTTTAGGTTTCTTATGTTTTGTAGCCACAACATATTTGTTGACAAGGATATATTATAGCTATTTAAATAATAATAGGAAAAAGGCACCATCTTTTTATTTTAATATTAAAGACAATAACTCTAGCTTCATCAAGTATATTTTTACAGCTTCCATCTGTGATTTGGGATTTATCAGTTTATAGTTATCATCTTCATTTTATATCCTTGTATATAACTCTAAGTCAATTACTGGCGTACAAAGGTAATATTCAACATATTTATTAATAATAGGTACATATTGGATATTTTTCAGTTATTTCTTCATGTCCAAAGATATGGTGTTTACTCACTATATTTTCATCTGTGTTTATCAAAAGTTTTATTAATCAGTATTTAAATAGAGTTATTAGTTTTGGTATCATCTAAATGGGAAGATTTTTTTTAATATAAATACATATTACTTTGCACATGTTTTTTATTATTCGAAATCAGTGTTTTCCTTAATATACTTAGCAAGATCATTTTCACTTAAATACAGTTGTTGGTCCTTATGAAGATCATTTAATTCGTATAATGGTATTGCATCTCCACACTTTTTATTTAATACTATTATATATCTATAACCAGTGCGCTTTGCATCTATAAAACGACGACCTATTGTATATGATGTTCTGTCATCAAGTAAAACATTATTTTTTAAACAAGGAAATGCAGACTCTAAGTTATGATAAAGTTTTTCTCCTAGATTTCCTATCAGACTCTCCTCTTTGCTACCTAACTGAAAATTTATTAAAATAAATAGGTATCTAAATGCTGGGAAAGTACAGTTTACTTCCAAAATTATTTGAAATTAAGTTCACACTTACTTTTGGTGGTAATATGATAACATTGTAAGGTGCTATACGATCTGGCCATCTTAATTCTTTTTCTAAGCTTAGACACTCTAATGAAGCTGCTATAATTCGACTTATTCCTATTCCATAACTTCCCATTTGCAATGTATGTTTCTTTGTATTCTTATCAATACAGTTTGCTTCCAACGGCTTGGAGTATTTTTCTCCCAACATAAATGTATGTGCAACTTCTATGCCTGTCTCATATGTTAAACTATTTTCACTTTTACATTTTAGACAACCTGTATCTGTTAATACTTCCTGATTTCCAATAAAGTCGCATTTGCTACATTTCACAATTTTATCTTCACCTTTATCAGTTAAAAAGTGATATTCGTGTGACAGATTTCCACCCATTGTTCCAGAATGACCCAAAACTTTAATAAATTTTACTCCTATCTTTTTAAATATCTTATTGTAACTGCTGCATACTTTTTCATATGTCTCTAAAGCTGTGTCCTGTGTTAGATCAAAACTGTACATGTCTTTCATGATAAACTCTCTACTTCTTATTAGTCCGAATCTAGGCTTCATTTCGTCTCGAAATTTTGAAGTTATTTGGTATAATAGTAATGGGAGATTTTTGTATGATATTGGGGCAATGCTAGAGAGAAGATGACTAGCTGTTTCCTCGTGGGTCTAGAAGATTTATGTGATTAAGTTAACACATGTTTACGATATGTAAATATGTATTTACCTACAGGAGCTAAAATATACTTATGGTCACGTCGGTCTTGTAATGTTAACAATTCAGGACCCATTTCACTTGCTCGACCTTTAAAATATGGTTTTAAATTTTACAATTTAATTTATATGACACAAATCAAACTCACCACTTTTTTCCCATAAATCTGATTTAACTAACGTAGGAAAAATCATCTTTTGACCTCCAATATTCTGCAGTTCTTCATCAACAAGATTAATAAGCTTATTAAGTGACTTTAATCCTAAAGGCAAATAATGGAAACACCCAGTATTAGCTTGTTGTAATATTCCTAATTCTAACATCAACTAAAACAATATAAAATTTAATATAATGTAGAATAAACTTCTTCACTTTTATTACCCTTTGACTCTTTGAAGTCACACCTTTATGAGTTAAATTGGACGCTTTAGCAGTTACAGTTATAGGCTGGAATATACCAGATAGTCTGTTTATTACACCCATTTTAATTTTTATAAGCTAAAATTTATCCTTTAGAAAATTTAAACTTCTTATCATTTTATTTAAACAGCACGATTTTTAAAAATTAGTTAAAATTATAGGTTATGAAATTTGTAAATAATTGTGAAGTTAGCTCCATAAGCTAGCTCCGGAACTTGCTCCGGAAATTAGCAATATAGTATAGATTAAAAGTTTAGTTTTGCTTTATAGCGCCACCTTATGGTTGTAGTGATGTACCTAGTTCCGTGAGCTTATATTAAAGAACTCTTTACTATTAATATTCATATTTTTGCACTAATTTTTAATCAAGGAGCCTTGGAAAAATATATTTAATTGTCTAATGTTTTTTCGTGTCTTGTTCTGGCCGGTTAAAATATGTTCAAATCATATTTTTAATCATATCTCAGTTTTTTTAAATGGAACAAGGATGGCTCACTAGCATATTTAGAAAAAGCATATTTTACGAATAATCTGGTATCACAACTTTTAATTAATACATTAATTAAAAGGTATTTATTATTTATCACTTGGTATTTCGAGTCAAATTGTTATGAACCGCATTTTACAATGTCAAATAAAGCTTATGCGGAAATGTCAAAAGTTGACATATGATATGTCATTCTATTCAGAGATACGTCATTCTATCAGAGATTTCATTTTCTATCGAATTATATCGAATAAAGTAAAAAAATACAGAGGATGTCATTTAAAAATCAAAAGTTGTAGTCATTTCCGGTGACACAGGAAGTGACCGAAAACAATTGAATAGGTCAATCAGTCCTGATTTATGTCATATACTAACATACCAAATTTCGTTTTATTATCTGAAAAATAAAAAAATTATAGGGTATAGAATTTCATTTAAAAATTCACAATTTTAAGTTTGAATATATGTCTATACCTATATGTGCGTTACCATTACTCCCATTTTACGTAAAAAAAAATAAAAATCACAAATCAAAATCCCGATATAGAGCGCTTTTTCGGAAGCCTGGGCCACCCTGTTCAAAATTGTCTTTATCTATATTTTGTCCAATTTTTTTCTTCTCCAACTTTCTGTCATTTCTTACGATACTTACTTGGTATACGACTGGGCACAAAATCGGGACTGCAAAACATAAACTAGTCAGAACATATGCAACATTTATAAGCGTATTTTGTTTATTGCTAAGGCCACTGTTTGGCTACATAAATAAGTATTTCAGAGCCTTAATGATTAACTGTAAAATATCAATTTCCGAATTCATATTAATGATTTGTACTGAATAAGTATAAACCATAGACTTAAAATAAAATATAGACTGAGCATCTCATTCATAAATAGCTGGAACATGCGGTCAGACAATGTCTTGTTATTGTTGTGATGTTGTGTTATTGTTTTAGGTTGTAACGAGTGCGACACGAGCGATAGATAGGTTGTCTCTGTCGTAACGGTCGTTCCCTGACGACTCTGCCGAGAAACACAACACTGTCTTTCGTTTCTCAAGTATACCTGAACTCTCCGTAACATAGCCGGGTAAATTTTTTATTTTAATGAAGCTATAATTAAATTAAAAATATATCGTATTTAAACTTTTTTATATTTTATTAAGATTTAGGACAGGTTTTTTAAATAAAAGTTTAGAAAAAAACGTCTTAGAGCGCTTAGAAAAGGATAAAAATAATAAAATACACGTTATAGAAGAAATTTTATAATCGAAATTAGGTAATTTTTGAAATTAATAATAAATTATTAATTTTAGTCAAACATTTACAACCCCTAATATTAATCAAAACAGGATTCCACAGATATAATAGAATCGGCGACAGCGAGGGAAAAAAAATATGATTGTTGTAGTTTTTTTTCTGGTTAAGTGATGTCTTATTATGTAAATCAGAGATAACATAAATTTGTTCCATTAAAGCAAGGAAGGTGATAGGAAGTGGATAAAATGAAAACTACATTTATTTAACTCGGTACTGTCTTTATTATACCGGGTGTGTCCCAAAAGTGGCTCATCCCCATAATTTTTTTATATTTTGAAATAAAAAAACAAGATTTAGTATGTTAGTATATGACATAAATTAGGATTGATTGACGCATTCAATTGTTTTTGGTCACTTCCTGTTTCACCGGAAATGACTATAACTTTTAATTTTTAAACGGCACCCTCGGTATATTTCTACTTTATTCGATAGAAAATGACACTCTGAATAGAATGACATATCATATGTCAACTTTTGACATTTTCGCATATGGTTTAATTGTAATTGTAACACGCGGTTCATAACGACAATTTGACTCGAAATACCAAGTATGTGGTATTAATATATTCATAAAAAAATGCTTTTTCCAAATATGCTAATGAGTCACCCTTGTTCCATTTGAAAAAATTGACGTATGTATGATTAAAATACGATTTGTACATCTTTTAAACCGGCCTAGACAAGACACGAAACCCATTAGACGATCAAAACTATTTTTCCAAGGCTCGTTGATTAAAACTTAGTGTTTTTAACAACACCATGGTACCCTGGATTGAAATTTAAAAGTTGACATATGATATGTCATTCTATTCCATAGATAAAAGAAAATAATCTACTATTAAGATAGATATGAAACTTAATTGTAAAATTTTGGGTCAAAGCGCCCCTCCGTGTTTTTAGTGGAGACTACGTTTCCCCCAGCGCCTTCGCCTTTTCTGCTGTAAATGTTTTTTATGTTTATATTTGAATTCAAAGGATTTATTTTTAAAGTTACACTGATATATTAGTATTATATTATCAGCTTAACTTTAATAAAACATAAGAATATATATATATATATATATATATATATATATATATATATATATATATATATATATATATATATATATATATACAATTCTATTTTTTTTTTATCTATTTTACATAGTTTCATGTAAATGATCCTATGAAATGATCGTAAGTCGAATGGCTGTCTAATGAATAGACCGAGATTTATAGATTTTAAAGCGAACGAAAAAAAATCGAACAACGAATACATACCATATATTTTTCTTTTATCTAAGATACGTACCTTATCGTCTTTTGGAAACACGTACATTTTTGCAGTTTTGTTAGTTTCTTTGCTAGATGCAACACAACAAGAAAACACCATTTTTACAGTTAATAAATAATAAAACTATTTCTGACTATGATATTTAAAATTTCGATATATAGAAAATTAAAAAACAAACCAGTATTTGCAAACGCAGGCCCAAATTAAAAAAAAATCAAAATTTTTCCTGTGAAAATCAGGCTTCTTTCACTGAAAAGGTATTTTTTGATTTATCAGCAGTCATTGTCAAGTTGACAATATACAGGGTGTTTTCGAATTAGTCTAAAAAATTATGGGGTGATTCCTCATGTGTTCTTAAAACAATTTTTATATAACCATTGGGTCTAAAGTACTTCTTTTCTGATCTACAATGTGTTAAAAATTAAAAAAATCGATTTTTTTGCTTAACGTAAATGGTACACCACTGCTTTTCTAAAGAAAATATATTTTTTTCTTGACTGGCCATCCTTTTTCAACAAAATTGATCTTTTGAGTTTTTCTTGTTTATCAAACGGTTGTCGAGAAAAAATAAATATACTTATTAAGAGCCCGCCTTAATTCGTTTTCTAACGATTTTTTATTTTTTAGATTAATTAGGAAACACCCTGTATATGCATATCACAGGCAACCAAATAAACTATAAACCTCTAAAAATTAATTTTCCTACCACTAGCAACATACCGTGTTTTTAGTGTGTACTAAATTATTTTATCAAAATTTCACCATATAAGTTTTCAGGCAATGTTCTATTCAGAGTGTCATTTTTTATCGAATAAAGTAGCAATATACCGAGTGTGCCTTTAAAAATCAAAAGATATAATCATTTCGGTGAAACAGGAAGAGACCAAAAACAATTGAATACGTCAATAAATTCTAATTTATGTCATATACCTACTAACATACAAATCTGTTTTTTTTATCTGAAAAAATAAAAAAATTATAGGGGTGAGCCACTTTTGAGACGACCCGGTATATTAAAAAATATTGTTTCATAATGTAATATCATTTTAAAATTCTTGTATGCTATTTTAGATTCTGAAAATAATTTTAGAATAAACCGGAATATATTTTTAATAAAACATTATTAATTATTAACAGGGTTATAATTATGATTTTGTTACAATGTAAGTAAGTAAATAATGTAATGTAAGAGAAAAAAATCAGATTTTACATTTTACTAAAATATTATCTAAATAAGCGCCTTTCTACAACAACGCCACTGACTCCCAATGGGTAAATTGAGAGTTGCCTACCAGTCGAAAGTCGTTTCAAGACTTAAATGGATTATTTAAGTCAAATTTCTTGCAAATTTGGCACTGGCGAACCATATTTTATAGTTCTTGAACAGAAAAAGTCAATAAAATAGACACTTAAGGACGACAAGCTAAGAAAATGCATTAATACAGCCGGGGACATAGCGGCCACAAAGCTTTAGCGCACACGTGCGACGCGTACTACAAGGTAATAAATGAATGAATAGGCTCCCTCGCCTCTAATCGGTGTTGTCATATTGTAAAGAACTTATCCTTTTTGAACAGTATCCGACTTATAATTTAGTAGTATAAGGACTATTTAATACATCTATGGAATATTAAAACCTACTTTATTAAACTGTAGTATTAATATCTCAATATATGTGTATAACAAGAAAAAAAATATTGATAATATAAAGACGTGACAACATAGGCTGGATGAGGAAGGCTCGGTCGACTGTACCCAGAAGTAAACATGTGTACAAAAAAGCTTTTTTGACCGCGTTGAGATGTAAATAGTGTAGTCTATTTTTTATTTTAAGTCTATGGTATAAACAGATATTTAAAAATTATAGAGCAAGTTGTACAGTAAACAGTACGTATGGAACAAACTTGATATAGTCATCACAATTTATATAGGCAGTTGCCGTTGACATTGATGAATGTATCTAGGTCTAAAGCGTCTTATAATTACATCTTGTACAACTGTATTTTTTATAAATGTTGATGTAGAGTTGAGGGAGTTTAAATCAAAGGGAATATACAAACAAATGTAAATATGTGAAGGAAATTTATAAAATAATAAGCGTGGGAATATTCTGTCTCTGAATAGTAGATATACAGTATACCACACACATATGGCATATATCTAGTATTACATTAAGTATGTAAACGCTACAAATTCTTTTGTTATACAAAATAAAAAAATATATAAAATTGATTTAACGTCTTTTGTTGGCAATCAACGTACGTAGGATCGTAGATCTCCGTAAGATGTAGATGTAGCATTCAATTATTTTAAGGTAAAACAGCTTGCGGCATGTCGTCACTTCTATCTTCTTATATGAGGAGCAGACTTACTAAATGCATTTTGTCCATTTTCTAAGATTTTCAACCAAGGTGGCATTGCAAGCTACATACACAGAGGGAGAATATGATGCCAGAAACGACGTGTTAAATACATTATTATTTATTATCCCAATTCGAATTGATGTTGATGGTTACTGAGTCGATCGCTTTTAAGGTTGCTTGATTATTATCGGATGAGATACCTATTTCTTCTTTCCGATAGTGCTTATCTAAGATAAGTTGTACGCATCTTTCGATAGCGTAGATTTCCACCTGGACATACTTAGGTACCTATTTTCTAAAATTTTACTGCTTAAATTTGATATATCTATTCTATTTTATTATGTTGCTTAATATATATTGAGAATAGAAATAATTTAAGTATGGAGTGCTGGTGTCGACTAATGCATATAAATATAACTCGTCCTTTTTAATTATCGGTAACTGCCAATAATAATGTAAAAAATGAGTAAGCTCTCCTAAGAACCTAAAAGGGAAAAATATATATTTTTCATTAAAAAATAAATGAACGCTATGTATGTAGGTAGACACTGGCCCGTATGAATAAAAATGAGCAAAACCTTCTACTTGCAAAACTTGAAGCATATGCTATATAGTTTATGAATAAAAATGTAAGTAAAAGGTTTTGCTCAAACTTGTATTAGATGAAGCATGAGCATCTACTCACGTTTAAGTATTTGCTCAACTTGTTATGAATAAAATGTATACTTTGCTTACTTAATTGAGCATATGCTCCAAAATGCATCTCGTTAGTAGGAGATGCACCTTAATGCCATACAATAAGCTGGTCATAAAATGGCAGAATTCGTGAATTTACGTGCACAGAAGCAATACAAAGTGTGAAGGGAAGCTAATATTGGCGAGATATTAAGTCTCTTTACAGATTTCAAGAGGAAAATGTAAATTGGATGGCAACGTACTTTTTGGGAGAAAATCTTGAAAGAAGAGGAGCCGCTCTTTCTTCAAATCATAAAATGAAGGTTTTCTTGCGATATATGGCCAATCCTGGATTTCAGATGGGTGTAGCAGCTGTAGCAGAAGAATTGGGTATCATTCAGTCGACTGTTTCAAAAACAATTTCATTTGTAATGAACAAAATAGTTGAAAAGTCCCATTAAAAAATTTCAGTTTCCAAGTGCTATTGGAGTGATTGATTGCACGTACGTTCAGATTTTGAAACCGAATAAACAGGGTGATGAATACATCAACAGAAAGGGATTGGCGACTTTCAATGTGCAGGCAACATGTAACTCAGTGGAAATGTTTACTAGTGCTGATGTTAGTTGGCCGTGTTCTGTACACGATGCAAGAATTTGGAGGAACTGCGATATACGTGTAACTATGCAACAGTTTCCTGGTGCAGTACTACTGGGTGATGATGGTTATGGCTTAGAACCGTGGCTAATGACTCCGTTTAGAAACTTAATAACGCATTGGAAAGAGCTTACAACAGCGACTGTTTAATAAAGAAAGGGTTATAATTGAAAGGTGTTTTGGCTAACTTAAGCGCAGGTTTCCAGTTTAGAAATATATGTGCCGAGTTAAATTAGAAAAAGTTCCATCCGTCATTATTTGTTGTATCGTGCTTCACAATATTGCCAAATACTTGGGAGATACTGATTTTGAATATAATGCAGAATCAGACTACAATTATCATAACGGTGGTGACTACGAAGTAGAAGGTGGGTTTCTACAGCGTGAACGAGAGAGACGCCTTGAAATAGCAAATGTTATTCTTGGTCAAGATCTTAGATAAAAATGGTGGGTTCATGTAAATTAAATTAGAAGTAAACAAAATAAATATTTATCTATAAGAAAGGCGTTTTTTTTTGTAAATCGTACCAACTTTAATAGCTCTCATATTTTCGCCACATGATTCTTTTGTTGCTTTTAGTTGGTGGCCAGTGGCCATAATTAATATATATTTTTTTTTAGAGCCGCAATGATTTTTTTTTGATACCTTTTTCTTCCTCATTCCCCTCGTCTGAAGGCATTTTAATTACACTTGCAATCAAAACACGGTCAATTCAAAAAACAAAGTGTAAAAAAAAACAAAACTCGAGTGTACGTTAATTTTTGCAAGTTTCGACAGGAATGACCAGGCGCAAATGCTCATTTTATTGAAGCAAATGCTCTTAAGTATAACCCAATCATTATTCATATCAACTCGAGTAGATGCTTATACTCCGACCTGTTACTCTAAGCTCTTGCTTGGAGCGTTTGCTCATACTACATTTGCTTTCTTTTTATTTATACGGGCCACTGACATAAAACCTCGCCAAAAATTAAAAAAAATAACGGTAGAAAGTAAAAAATTAATAAAACAACAAAATAACTTCCCTAAACTCACTATAAAACTCAAATGTGCTCTTTTGAGACATGGAATGTTATTTTTTTTTGTTTAATAAAGATTTAATGAAATTGAACTTTTGGTTAATAAGGTAATAACTAGATGGATCAAGTTTTAAGAAGTAAATGATTCTGTACTTACTCTCACAAATCGCACTAAGGAAATAGTACCCATATATTTGGCTTTTAATGTCAAAGGTTTCTGGGCTCTAGCAATTACCAAAATTATATTTTTTCGCAACTTTGCATCGATATCAAATTCGTACCATTTACTTTTGTAAACCGATCCAGCTACATTCATAGACTGAAATAACAATAACACAAATATTTTCTTAATAATATTTCATCCAGTACAGACTAGAAAATTGAGTTGGAAAAACAGTTTTTCTGATTTCATTTGTTACCTTTCCTATCCATAAAGGGAGAAAACATGTCTTTTGTAAAAAACTACTGCATAAACTACTATTTCTTTTTTTAATCTTACCTCTTCACTAACTTTTTGGCCATAGTAACATACCATAAAGAATAACACAAGCCAACCAATTAAAAGCATGGCGTATCTCAATCTGTCCTGATAATTGGTCTTCGAATTAGCTATTTGATAACTTATGACTGCTAGAGTAAAAGATGTCATGGTAACGTAAATAATCAACATGCGGCTGAAGACATTAAACACTCTTTCCGTATATCTAAAATAATGTTAACATATTTTGATTTCTAATATATTATAGGATTTGTTACATGGTTTTGGTGATATCAAGTTGGTTAATTGAATGTTGGGTAGTTGAAGACACTTGACTTGGGAGATGGTGCAGGACTGTCGGACTAAGCATTATCTCTGACAAAACCGTGGTAGTGTCATTCAGCAGAAAGCGAAATCTGAAAATTCTGAAGAGAATCTAACTAGCTGGAAAAGAAATACTGCCGTCACTGGAAGTAAAATATCTGGAAATAACCCTGGCCAGTAATCCTATTGAACAGGCATACTAAGAACATTTCTAGCAAAGCCACAAGGCTCTAAGATAGTAATACCCTAATAAATATGGAGCAGTTGCTTGGTACACAAAACTAAAACAACGTACAGCAAGGCAAAACCTGTGTAAACAACAATGGCAACAGCAACAATGGAGGTTATTCTACGACAATGTGCACTATTGCACATTCCAATGTGACAATGATTAGAATAGTTATTAACTGACGGAACCCGACGGAACCAGTACTGGGAGAATTGTCAGCTCAGGAGCATGGAGCATCCTCAAAAGGAGAACTCCAGTCCTCCAATACCCAGTGGATGACATATCAAGAATGCACAAATTTGAGAAACACCTCTCTGTAGCATTGGGCAACAAAAAGAATTGAAATAGAGAAACGTTTGCCCAGCAGTTAAAAGACCATACCATAACGTTGTATTCCGATGCTTCCAAAACCAAAGCAGGAAGACGGATATAAGTATTTGGTTTAGAATGCAGAATATTTAGGAGGGGAGTTAATTGTCACGGTCTTACAGATCTATTGTGTGTTTGCCTTTCTTGTGTTATAACTAGTTATAACTCATCATACAGTCTCAGGGGTGTAACAAAAGCCAGTATCTGAGACAGCCAAACAGAGGCCAGCTCCCAGCTCTCCATCCTCGACATCAGCCGTACCAAAGTTCATGGCATGAACGGTCGTCATCTCGGCGCACTCAGTGATAAGGTGTTCTGGTGTTTCCCCATTTTCCCCACAGAATCTGCATTCGCCGTTGTTTCTCGCCTACTGAGGTGTTCGTTCAGGAGACAGTGTCCTGCTAGAAATCCCGTAACAATCCGAAGATTGTTTTTACTTAAGTCAAGAAAAATCTTTGAATCTTTGATTTTTCTCGGTCGTAAGTTCTGAGGAAAACGGGAAACGTCCTAGAGGGAGATCTCCAAACCGTTGGGTGGACCAAATGAAGACAATAATAGCTAATAGTCTGCACGAGGCCAGTACTGCTGCGCAAGACCGAACAACATGGAGAGACACCATAAATGCGATGTCATAATGTCACCATACTCTTATAGAGTAATAGGAAGGAGGAGGAGGAGGAAGTTCTGAGGAACTTTTTCGAATGTCTTAGACCGTTGGATGACTACCATTCTAGGTTACGGATGGTCTTACGGGTTCCTCAGCTTCTCCTTTAGGTAGTTCGTTTTCGCTTGGAAAACAGGACGGCTCTGGTCCAGTTAGTGGAGTGTTTGCTCCTTCTCTAGCTAGATAATTTGCTTTTTCGTTGCCTTCTATCCCTTGGTGAACGGGCACCCAGAGTAGGTGGACTTAGTATTTTCTTTGCCTAATTTGTTCAGCTTCTCTAGAGTATATGGGTTTAAAACTAAATACTTTGAACGAATGGGCACATATTCCAGCATTCTTCAGGTAGCGAAAGAGATATATTCTCAGTAAATTGAAGCTGAGAAACAACGGTGAATGCAGGGAACCCTATCACTGAGTGCATCGAGACAACCATTGGCGTCATAAATTAAACGGCGAATGCACCGGAGATAGAGAACTTCCTCCCTGGATGGAGCTATTTATGATGATTTATAACTCAAGAAAAAAGAAAGCAGCTCTATAATTGTTTTGGGGGAATTAGAGTTGTCGTGGTCCATATTTTGATCTCAACTCTCAAATTTCTTCGATAAAATGCTATAAAGTAGAGGTCTGTGTCATGATTTTGACTAATATTAACGGAAATATACCTAATATATTCTTCTATAATGATGGTATGGTTATGCACTACTATACTTACAATAATATCTCTTGATGGTATTTAACGCAAGTTATAAATTTTCTTTTGGCAGCATCCTTAAAACCATTTAGATTTTCTTCATTTTCATTAAAAACATTTTCAAACATTGCACCACAATTTTTTAATTGTGCAATGATATGTATTAATAGTCCTAAAATATAATAACTTTGTTTATTGCAGAAAACTTTAAAGCTGCTTCAAAATTCAAGACAGTTTTATGCCTCACAATCTGCTCAACGAGAGTATATACATGCCATTAACAGTTGTGTCGTTATAATGTACAGATTTGGATGTCCTCTGTCGAAATCTTCTCTAATTCTTTTGAGATATTCTATTAATTTTATTATGAGACATTCATTCAATTTTACGTTTATTAAAATATCAGTGTAAATTAAATGCGTGTTGTACAGGGTGGGCCAAATTGGACACTTTTAAAGCGAAACACCCTTTTCTATAGGAGATAGACGAAAACTAATATCGGTGCCTGGAACTCAATGTTTATCAAAAACATGATGGTAAAAATCGCAAATTGATATCTGTTACCGTTTCAGAGTTACGGGGTGTTTTTCAAAATTGTACATTTTTAACAAAATGCTGTAACTTTTTTGCTATGAAAGATTTTATATTTTTATAAAAACTATTTTTAATAATAATATTTAACTAATTCAATATTAACAATTTAAGAGTTATAAGCAGCAATTAAAACGAAAATAATATTTGCAATGAAAGATGTAGGATTTTATAACAATTTAAACTATATTTAACAACATCGATACATTTAAACTATATCTCTAATAACAATAATAATAAATAGCCACCCAAGACATGAGATTTTGCTACAGGAGGTGTTTGAAATGTCGACCGTCTTCTCTTATGCACAGGCCAGATCGTTTCTGAGTATTTCTTGCGGATGGGGGCACCCCATTGTATTTACCCCTTACTTCTGCATGCGGGGCTCTGTAGAAGTGGACCGACTATCCCTAGCGACTCGTGGGAACACTATGAGATCTAGTATTAAAAACACCACCGGTGACGCTGTGGGGAAAGCCCCCTAGCGACACTGGGAACATTACAAATGAAAGTTCCAAGGGACCAAATCCAAAGGAAACTACAAGAGGGGCGGCTGACACTTGCTTGCGATCATCCTCCACAAGTGGCACACAAGCTACCACCTTCTCCAGCAAGGGTTGGGAGCCTACCTCTAGACCAAATAAGCGACATAAGCTACCGTTTCGTCTACCCGGCCTGGGTCAACCAGGCGGGCTAGACGATCCTCTGAGAGTAGGTGCTAGCGGAGCAGAAGCACGGACATACTTCCGACTGCTCCACGAATGACTCGCTCCAGAGGAAGCAAAAGCAAAAACACTCCTCCGAAAAGGGGAGAGTAAATAAACCAAGAAACAACCTGACTCATCTCCATCAAAGGACAAGAGAGGGAGCGGAACCTGTCACCTCTTCTCCGGCATAGAGAGAAAAAAGCCAGGATGGAAAGCCGTCCAACACCGGGAAGCAAGCAGGGATGTATCACCAGCTTTACCGCTATAGCTGGACAAGTGAAAATGGCGGTGCTGCTAAAGGATTTCCCAGAGGTTGCTCTGACCAGCAAACGTTTCTAGAAGAGGCTATACTGGACGAAGTAGTGGCGATCGGATCGCAACACAATGATCTACAAAATGTGGGTAAGGTGCGTTTTACGGGGATACACTTTCGGGTGGGCATGATCTTCATAGATTGTGTATCTCAAGAATCGTCGAATTGGTTAGTGGAAATCGCACCTAAGCTTAAAAATTGGCAAGGGCCGGAACTGGTTGCAGTGAAGGGAGAAAATATCTCTAAAGGGACGGCCATAACGGTCTTTCTGCCGAGGAGCAAGGGAAAAGACTTGGCCTACCTGCTGAGCCTTATCCAAGGTCAGAACTTCAATGTAAGGACATCGAGTTGGCGAGTCATCAACTCGAGGGAGGAGGGTCATGGTCAGGTCCTCACAATAGTAATTGACCTCAAATCCAAGGAGGCAATAGAGAAAGAGGGACATATCCTCTATTATAGATACAGGACAACACCGTTATCAGGTCTAACGAGAGACCAAGTTAAAGAGGTGGAGAAAATGGAGACAGATCCTCCAGCCCCCACTTCACGGGTTCCTTAGTTGGAGGCAAGCTCCTCGACTGTGAAAAGCGGCACGGAGCGCTGAGGGCCAAACTCCAACCGTGGTAGGGTGTGTATCCTCGGAGGAAGAACTGTTGTCAGAGGAGGATGGGAAATACCCTGTACCCCTCTAAAACAGGAGTATGATGGGTTATAAATTGTGTGATGACTCAAGGAAGGGGGGCACAATAGATCTTTATGGTCGCAGTGATTAACCCCCCTCTTACTCATTCTACCTACATTTCTCGCGGGATACATTAACTCAGTCGGGGTGAAAGATATATACCCTCGCACAATCGCTAAGTACTTATAATTCTTATCTAGAGTAGACGGGCGATTTAAAAATAAGAACTAGTTTAGTCTTCTTCAAAGATAAAAATTCATAGACGCCAAGTTCGGTGGCCTCGACGGCCAACTTAGTTAGCTTTTCAATTCAGATTTCAGCGTTGCGAGGCGGTACCTCGTCTTGCTTGAAAATATGTTTTTGAGTTCGATTAGGGGCAGATCATCAATAAGGGATTCCCAGAGCCTACTAGTTAAAAGTGGTCAACTTTTAAAAATTCTGTATTTCGAAGGGAACTTGAAAGAAACACTTTAAAAAACTTTATATCAATAAGAACACTTTATATTAAGTGTGCTATATTTTTGGAAAGGCAATTTTAAGTTCATTTCAGTGAATTAAAAATTTACAGGGTATACCAAATAAAAAATATTTTCTGTTGATAGCTCTTAAATTATTGATTTAAAAAAAAATACACTTACACTATTAAATTCTACGTAGAAAGCTGCTTTGTAATTTTTTTTATAAAAGTACAAACTTTCATAGCAAAAAATAGTTAAAAATACACATTTTACAAAAAACACCCCGTAACTCCGAAACGGTAACAGATATCGACATGCGGTTTTTACAATCATGTTTTTGATAAAAACTAAGCACAACTCCAAACACCGATATTAGTTTTCGTCTCCTATAGAAAAGGGTGTTTCCATTTAAAAATGTCCAATTTGGCCCACCCTGTACAATATGAGGTTATTTTTAGTATGTTAGACTTATTTAAATTTATATGGCAATTTCGGGACACCCTTTTTTACCTGTAACCATGGCAGTTGCTAGAGAAAACGCATAACATATATGAACACAGTAATTGGCCTCCATCATGTAAACTATCCAAAAGATGTGCGGTTTGCTAGCATCAAATGGATAAAAATTTTGTGTAGGCATTCCACATGGGTTATGTTTCAAGTGAAAATCCGTACCTGAAACTCAAAGCTTCTTAAATAGTAACGAAAATTTGTTACTTTTAATAGTAACCGAAATTTGTTAGAAGAAAAATACCTCTGCTTCTAATACAATGTTTTGTGGATATCAAAGGCCAGCCCAAATTGCAGCCTAGTCCAACAGCTAAATAAATAAGGAGATCTTCAAAAAAATCAAAATTAGTTTACATAGTCTTTAAAGTTAGGAAAAAACTAAATTTACATTTGGTGTAGTAGGTACATTGTTCGTCCCGCTTCTAGTATAACTTCTTTGTTACAATACTTCGAAAATATGTTGATATCTTTCAAAATTTTTGCTAGGGTTTGTTGGTTTTGTATAACTGAACAATAAACGATTAAATATCCGGTTATATCGCACATAGCAATTAGAGTTTCCATTAGATTGTTAAGATTTTCCACACCAATCGAAAGCTGTTGAAATAAAATACTATACGATCGAAAAAAAGGCGTTGAAAACGGCTCCGGAATGATAATTGATAATAATTTTAGCGAGGTCAAGCCCTAGACGTCATTTACTTGGCCCGTACTACTCTGTTTTTTTTAATGGTTACTGCTTACTGCCAGTTGGGCTGGAGAAGGTTGTAATTTATTTTTATATTGAGTAATTTTTTTTTTGAAGTAGATTTATATGTGTCTGCAAACGTTCTATCTTTTCATAATTTTTTTATAATTAGTGTTAGCTTTTGACTTTGAAGTTTTATGTCAATTTTCAGTAAATGACGGCTATAGATTGACCACACCAAAATTATCATCGATTGTCATTCCCAAGCCGTTTTTTTCTCGATCGTACGGTACAAAAAAAGCATAAAAACATATAATTAAAACAAAAATAGTTATTTCTGCACTAAGGATATTTGTGGGACGATAATATCTGGTGGGCGATAAAAATATCCTGGAAAACAATTAGTTCAATATTACATCACACGTTGGGCATTTTTCTATAAAAACTAAAGTCCAAAGTGCATGATAAATTTTGCGTTTCTGAAAATAGCTTTGGTACTTCGCATTACATTCAAATATGTAAGGTCCGACCGAACCTGGATTTTTAGTCTCTGCCGAGACCGAGTCCGAGACCGAGACCGAGAGAAAAAAAGTTCTCGGCCGAGAACAAGACCGAGACACGAAGAAATATTTCTTTAATAGTTTATTATATGAAAAAACATCTGATAATAATGTAATAAATAAGTTATTTTTATGCAGAAACGGTTTTCTTGGGATTTAATACTACAAAATTACTAATATTAATAAAATTACTTTTTTTTAGTCTATGTTATAGGCTAAAAAAGTAATTTTTCGGCATTGCATCCTTTCAAATTATGCAGTGTTTCATAATATTCTTTCTAAATAGTTGTTTGCAAGAGTTTGTTGGTGGCCCAGACTAGAAATTTATAAGCTGCTTTGAGAATGCTTGCTCTGTATAGAGGTGAATAATTACACAGAAAAATTTTACTTATTAGTAGGATATACGATTATACAACTTATATTAATAAGACACTAACATCTAACATTTCGTACATTGTTTCCGCATTGAAATACAAAAGTCATTCTTCAGCCTCCGGGAAATCCTCTTCGTGATTCTATCAGATCATATACATATATGTTTCAGATATGAACCATATTCTTTATTTTTCGACTTTGGACAAGTATTTCATTCATCCACGCATCGATAGGTGGAGCGGAATGCTCAAAAATAAGCTAATTTGATGATCGTGATCAGTCTCGGCCTTTAGTAGAGGTAGAAGGCCGATTCTGCATCAGTGGAGCAGTGGAGCAGAGCGCACGGCGCATGCGCGAGGAGTGGGGGTACAGCGCAGGCGCGAGGAGGAGGGGAGCTGTCAAATGTCAAACGTCATATGTCAAACGTCAAACGTCATATGTCAAACGTCAAACGTCATCTGTCAAATGTCA